GGAACTCGCAATTGGTGGTTGGTCCAAAGTCACCCAGCTGACTTTCATGGCTAAGGCAGGACTAGCACTCAGGGTCTCCCAGTTTTTAACTTGGTGCCTTAATCACTAAGCCAAACTGGCTTTTAGGAGCTAAAGGTGATGGTTTCATGGCCAGACTCACTTCTCCTTGGGGTGGGGGGAGTTCTACAACCGGAATGCTATCACTGATAGCCTTTCTCCTGGCTGCTGAACCAAACCAACTGATACAAACCAGCTGATCTTAGTGGATGTCCTGAAAAGCATCCAAATTAAGAATTATTCATTATATTCCTCCAAAGAGATGATTGTCACCTGGGGAGCTGTACATCCTATTTGTTCTTCTGTCCAGGCACTCTGTTATTTAGTCAGCTTATATTCTTTATTAATCCCCACAAAACATCTGCATGGCAATAAAATATCATGGGGTATTGATAGACATTCCATGGAATTTTATGATTTTCATCACCTGTCCAAATGTCAACAATAGAAGAGCCCACATGTAACCTGTGTGCTGTACATAAGAATATTTAGAATAACAGTGTTGGAAGGGACCTTGAAGGTCTTCCAATCCAACCCCCTGCTTAGGCAGGAAACCCTACACCACTTCAGACAAATGGATATCCAACATCGTCTTAAAAATGTCCAGTGTTGGAGCATTCACAACTTCTGGACACAAGTTGTTCCATTGATTAATTGTTCTAACTGTCAGGAAATCTCTCCTTAGTTCTACGTTGCTTTTCTCCTTGATTAGTTTCCATCCATTGCTTCTTGTCCTGCCTCAGGTGCTTTGGAGTCTATTTTGACCCCCTCTTCTTAGTGGCAGCCCCTGAGATATTGGAAAACTGCTATCATATCTCCCCTAGTCCTTCTTTTCATTAAACTAGATATACCCAGTTCCAGCAACCGTTCTGCATATGTTTTGGCCTCCAGTCCCCTAATCATCTTTGTTGCTCTTCTCTGCACTCTTTCGAGAGTCTCCACATCTTTTCTACATCCTGGTGACCAAAACTGGATGCAGTATTCCAAAACATCATTCAGTTCCCACCAATCATAGTTCATTAAGAGACCTCTAAAAGTAGTTTGGTTAATGAAGAAGAGGCATACCCTGTACTTCAATTGTTTAGGACTATACAAGCGAAAAACAGCATCTTGGATATTGCGCAGACGCAAAAAGTAAACTAATAAGGCTGTTTCCAAGGTTGTTGTAAGGAGGTAACCTACAATTTGTTCCCTTTAACTGACAAACCAAGTTAGCTATCTCACTAGGCTTAATAACAGGGCCAATCCTGCTTTCTACTCCTCTATCAATCGAGCCCTCCTGTTGATATTTAGATTCTAAACTTCTCATGGTAGAGTTTTAGCTTTATTTATTTTTTTCCTGCAAGACCCCATTAATATTGACCTGTATATAACCATTAATACACGATCATCAGAGTGGTTTTACTTTGCTAAGGAGAAGTTTGGAAATGTCAGGGCACTGCTTAGGTTTAAGCTTTGGTTTGGCTGCTGATTATAGCCTCTCTGTGTTTTGTCAAATAGGAGCTCTGTATTTCATCAACAAGAGCTTATCCTTCTCCTCCTTTCTTCTCCAGCTAAATTAACTCTGTTCTTTTCTTTGTTTAAAACTAATCAGCCAGGATTCAAACCAATCAAAACTTAACTAAGGAAAAACAACCAGCTCTCCTTCTCAAATCTATTTGGGTATTAGATAAAGGAAAAAGGTTCCCCTTGCACATATGTGCTAGTCATTCCCGACTCTAGGGGGCAGTGCTCATCTCCGTTTCAAAGCCGAAGAGCAAGCGCTGTCCAAAGACGTCTCTATGGTCATGTGGCCGGCATGACTAAACGCCGAAGGCGCACGGAACGCTGTTACCTTCCCATCAAAGGTGGTTCCTATTTTTTTCCACTTGCATTTTTGCATGCTTTCAAACTGCTAGATTGGCAGAAGCTGGGATAAGTAATGGGAGCTCACTCTGTTTACGCGACACTAGGGAGGCGAACCGCTGAACTGCCGGCCTTTCTGATCGACAAGCCCAGCATCTTAGCCACTGAGTCACCACATCCCTATTTGGGTATTAAGTTGGCTTATTAACAAACAATAAAGACATTTGGTGGTCTAGATTTTAAGGGGAATAGTGATTCAGAACAGATGTGGGTGTGAACTGTCGCAGCTGCCAGCACCTTCTTAAATCAAATGTGCTTCTTTTATTTTATTTTTTTGCCTAGGCAGTCGTGCGAGTCCAGGAAAAGAAAAAGTTTCTTTAAGGAGTTGCTGACAGTGTGACGTCCACTCCCACTGTGCTTCAAATCAGTTTTTTTCCCTTAACATCCAGATCATTACATAACCTTAACAAACCTTGTCCCACATATATACCACAGCAATTAAATCCCAGAACTGCAATCTGACTAGGAAGGCATAGTTTATTTTGAAATAAATCACCATAACTCCATAAATGTATAAGTTATTGTTCCAATAGAAATCTGCTCCTCTCTTTTCTGTTCTCTTACAGTCAATTGGATGATACAAATCAGTGTGTTTTTTCCTATGAAAATGCAAGGGAAAGCTTTGTTGATCCTGAATTTATCATGGCCAATTTTGTAATAAAGTTCTATGCCAGACTGATTAAAGTTCCCTTTATTGTGCTTATTCCTACCTTGTTTCCCTGAAAATAAGACCTCCCCAGATAATAAACCCAATCTGGCTTTTGAGCGCATGTGCTAAAATAAGCCCTGAAAATAAGCCCTCCCTGAAAATACTTAACACATGTGCAACTTGTCCCCACCATTTTCTCTGATTTCTTGCTGCACAAACAACACAAGGAGAGGAGGCAAAGCCAGAGGGGGAAGGGAGGGTACATGCCCCCCACACCTCACATGCCCTTACCTAATGGATGCTCCCACCATCCTAGCCACCGTGCCCTTTTTGTCACACTAATAACCACCACAAAAAGAGAGGCAGGCCGAGCGTGGCACCTCGCTGCCGCAGCAGCGCAACACAGCAGAAGCCATGAGTTGACCATGGTCGCCACCTCCTGCACCACAAAAATAATAAGACCTCCCCGAAAATAAGGCCAAGAGCTTATTTCGGGGGTCAAAAGAAAACAAGACCCTGTCTTATTTCAGGGAAACATGGTATTTTAAAACAAAACCTTGCAGGTAGTGCTTAACGTATGACTAAAATTGGGACCAGAATTTCTGTTGCTGAGTGAAAATGAGTTGCCCTGATTTTATGACTTCTTTTGACATGCCTGTTAAATGAACCACTGCAGTTGTTATATGAAGCATGTGGTCATTAAGTGAATCTGGCTTCCCCCATTGACTTTGCTTGTCAAAAGCCAGCTGGGAAGGTGAACAAATGGTGATCATATGACCCCAGGATGCTGCAACCATTGTAAATGCATGTTGTTTGCCAAGTGCCCAAATTTTGATCACTGTAATTGTGAGGATGCCATAACACCGGGATGGCGAACCTATGGCACATGTGCCAAAGTTGGCACGCGGAGCCATTGGTCAGGGCATGTGAAGTGCTGCCTGCTGATTTCACCCTTTTTTAAAGCCATTTTTCGCTCTCCTCAGGCTCCAGAGGCGGGTGGGGGAGGCTGTTTTCACCCTCCCCAGGCTCCCGCACCCGCCCGGAAGCCTTCTGGAGGCTTCATGAGCTTCCCTGAAGCCTTCGGAGTGCAAAAACCTGGCCCCATGGGCAAACCGGAAGTTCGGGGACAGACTTCCGGTTTGCTCAGAGGATCATTTTGAGCACTCCAAAGGCTTCAGGGAAGCCTCCTGAAGTTTCCTTAAGCCTCCAGAGGGCCTCCAGGCGGGTGAGGGAGGCTGTTTTCACCCTCCCCAGGCTCTTATAAAGCCTCTGGAGCCTGAGGAGGGCGAAAAAAGCATGCAAAAAATGGGGGGGGGGGTACCTGTAGTGCACGCATGTGCACTGGGGGGTCTCGCATTGCATTATGGATGCGGCACACCCGCACACGACCCCCTGTACTCTTCCCCCTT